CCCCCCCCCCACACTCAATACCACTCCCCTCTATCTCCTGTTCTCACCTGCATCTTGGTGACGCTCCCTTGGTCAATGTACACCTGAGCCACCTCTATGAGACTCTGTAGTCTGGCCATGATGCTCTGCTCCAGGACGGCCAGACTGGTCAGCAGAGTGTCCACTCCTGAAGTCAGCTGACGCAGGTCATCCCCCAGCCCTCGCCAGGCCCGGTCTAAGTCCTCGATCTTCTGCACCATGACGCGCTGTGGGTACTCCACGGACTCCACGTAGAACACACTGCGGCTCTGTCGGCAATCATGGGGGTCAATTAATTTTCTTAAAGCTTTTTTTCTCACTTTCTTTTTAGTAAGAGTTTTTAAGATTCTTGCAACAAATATAAGTAATATAAATGCTGAAAATTAGAGGTGTGACAAGAGAGTTTCGTTTTAGTAAGAGGTTGACGGTACTTGCCACACAAATTGGTCATATAAGTACTGAAAATTAGAGATGAAACCAGAGAGTTTAGTTTTAATAAAGAGTCTTACGGTACTTAGAACACTATTCGATCATATACGAGGTGAGAATTAGAGGTGCTCTACACAAAAGAGAAGGAGGAGAGATAAGCACGATAGATGTTCGTTTGGAAAGAAGGAGCAAACCACACCAGACCTTGCCAAAGCCCACTTTCATTCAAGCAACCTCATTCAAATGTATACAAAAAAGGAGAAGTTGGAGAAACTTAGGAAATGTTTGAGCATGCCAGAGACAGCATTATTCTATCAGACATGATACTGGAGTCCAACTGGAAAAAAAGAAGAGGTTGACCAACTGGACGTTACAGAAGCACAATCAGGGATAAGGTTATCAGTCAGGTAGATGTACCAAGGTTAGTAGAGGAGGTGGCCTGTGACATATAAGCGTGGTGTCGAGTGCTAATCCTGCCATGTGCACCTGGCGGTACAGGGAGAGAGTTTTAAAAATAGTGTTAATAAGAGTTTTAACGGTGCCCGCAACTGCATACGGTCATATGAGCGCAGGGAGAGAATAAGTATATATTCAGAGGTATGTTCCACCAAGATCTCTAAGAACAGGAAATCAGTTGTTTTTTTATCAGAGTACATAGGAAGGGATGTCATATCTACGCTCTTTAGATTAATGCTAAACAGAAGCAGACATTCACGCTATCACTGCACAATCAATAACGTTTAGTACATCACAACATGAACTTAGAGTGCTATGAATATGGACAACTATCAAGATATTTTTCTAGTAAGTGCATTGGTTAAACGCCCTTATTAACACTTTTAAGTTATTTAAAAGGAGGGACTTTCGAATTTAACGTCCGTCTCCAAAAGGACTATGCCAAATGGGTTGAGAGCCTTGGCAACTCCACAAAACGACCGGAGGTCAAGAATGCTCAGTCTGAGATTCGAATAAGGGCCACCTGCTCTGTAGTCCAGCATGATACCAACTGAGTTAATGGAGCCACCAAGACGTTGCATTATAAGGTATGTTTTAAAATAAAAGTAAACATTTTGCTTCCGACTTTGTATCCTCAAATATTGAGGGAGAGAGTTCTAGATAGAAGGAGCTAGATGAGAAAAGAACCTCCCAGCGACGAGCGATAGGTTGTACACAGTACTGTAGTAAGACTTTGCAGTTCTTGCAACATAATAGGGTCATATAATTACTGAACAATCGAAGTGAAAGCCAAGCTTATCAATAGTAGCTTCATACCAACCCTAACACACTAGTGCCAAGCATGGTTCCTAGATAAAGCACAAGACAGAAAAATCAATGTATGAGAAATGAGATATCTCCGCAAAACTATTAATGTCATCAGAAGAGACTGCGTAAGGAAGGAGACCGTACGCCTACTAACCGGAATAGAACCAGTTATGAATTTCATTGATCGTCAAACAATCAAAGGGTTCGGAAGCATGCCCCTAAAACAACAAGCAGCAAGAATTTAGCACTCCTGTGAGTCTGGCTTTAAATCAAGAGGAAGACCAAGAAATACCAGGCAGGATGGGTTTAAAAAGGTACTGGAAAGCATGCTATGTCAATTACAGACACTGCACACCTAGCACAGGAAAGAAACTTGCATACCCCCTCGACATCCTAACGAAACCAGAGGAAGGAGAAAGTGAAAGTAAAAGTAATTACTGAAGATTAGTGGAGTTACAAGAAAGAAATAACACAAAAACAGGAGGAGGAGAGATAAGGACGATAGCTGTTTGATGAGAAGGAAGGAAAAAAAAACATTCAAGAACACCCACCCATCCACTACACGACATAGAAATACCCCCGCATACCTGATAAAAACGCCGGCCTCGATTGAGAAACAAGATATTGGCCAGGTACATATCATCCTCGTCCACTGTCCAATTGGCGAAACTCGTGTTGGCGAGGCCAGAGTAGAACTCCAGATATTTTTTTATCTCCAGAATGTCCTTCCCAACTCGACTGCTGTACTTCCGGGTGTAGGAGGTCCTGAACAGAGATTGGCGGAGCAGAGGTTTGGGCGTCATCAGAAGGTTGTCTGCCCGTTTCTCCTCCTGGAACTTGTACCGGAAGATGGGCGTGCCGTTGTGGTATGCCTGGTACAGCTGTGTGTAGTTGGCGTGGGCCCGCTCGGCGAGATCAATGCGGCCCATCAGTGTGTTCATCGTATCCAGGTAGAGGGAACTGCGAACCTGGAGAACCAATAATTAATCCGGTAAAAGTCCAAATAAGACGCTGGTCCCCTCCCCCCCTCATTTTGAAAATCAACTAAAATTGTCTTTAGCGCATGACGTCACACCAACTCCCATGTTGGCCTTACAGACAGTGGGGACCACGGATGTGTGTAGTAGAACAAGTGAGTTCCCAGTGGAGGGCTAAAATACATGAAGGCCTTTACTGCAGTAGTTATCCCTTCCGTATTATTCTCTCATATCAGCCCTCTTTACCTTTGCCTCTTTCTTCCTGTCTTATTTTAGTTTTAGCAAGAGTGTTACTGCACTTGCAAAACAAATACGTAATATAAATACCAAAGATTAGAGGGTGTTACAAGACAGTAACGTAAAAATGAAAGAACTAGGAGAGAAAAGAACGAATAAATGTTTGATAGGATAGAAGAAGCATACTATCTCCGAGCACCCGCCAGCCATCAACTCTTCCTGTCTTACTACCATCTCTTTCCAGAGCAGCAATTCTTCTTTTTGCAACTTCACCTAACCTACTCCCCTCCCCGTTTCATTCATCTCCCTCTCTCTTCTATCATTTACACCAAATACTCTTTCGATTATTATCATTTTTTCTCTCTATAGAAACGACCACTGCTCTACGGAAACTTAAGTTGGCATATCATCATCATCATCATCATCATCATCATCATCATCATCATCATCATCATCATCCTCCTCCTCCTCATCATCATCACCATCATCATCATCATCATCGTTGTCGTCATCGTTAACATTTTTTCTTATAGTTTTTGTTGCATTTTTCTTGTTGCTTTTGTTGCTGCTGCTGCTGCTGCTATTGTTGTTGTTGTTGCTGTTGTTGTTGCTATTGTTGTCGTTGCTGTTGTTGTTGCTGTGTTGTTGCTGTGTTGTTGCTGTGCTGTTGCTGTGTTGTTGCTGTGTTGTTGCTGTGTTGTTGTTGTTGTTGTTATTATTATTATAAATCACATCAACACTCACATCTTGTGACATGGTAAAGTTGTCGGGTGGCTCTGCCATCTGACGGATCCGAGTTTCGATTTGGAAAGAGAACTCCTGGAACCCCAGCATCAAGTAGAACATAGTTCTCTCCTCCATCGCGTTGCGGGCGCGCATGAAATTCTTTTCTACATGGTATTTCTGCCACTCCAAGAGATACTTTTTCCTCTCCCACACTTGTGACATGCGTTCACGGATCTCGTAAAGGTTGTCGCGCTGGGCTTGGATACGGCTGGTGACGTCACCCGTCAAGACCTCCTGCAGTTTTCGGAATTTTGTCCTCACGGCTATTTCCAGGGCCAGAAAGTGTTGGAATTTCAGATTGTCCATTCGCGACGTCACTTCCCTGTAGATGACATTAATGATGAAGGTGAAAATACTAAAGCAAAAGTGATTTTGTTTCATTTGTTTTAGCAAGGGTTTTATGCCACTTACAACACAATTAGGTTACATGAGTGTCGTGGAATGGATGTGTTACAAGAGAATAACAAACAAAAAAAAGGAGGAGAGATAAGGATAATAGATGTTTGATAGGAATGAATGAGCAAACCACACTTGACCAACCGCTAACCACACCCGGCAAAAGTGTGTGGTCATGGAAAAAAGCTAGCAGACAAGGAAAAGATAAATTAAAGGCATCTATTTTGAATTGTATGACCTAGTGTGCAACATCACTGGTCATCGGGGGGGGGGTCACAATGAGATTGCAACTACAACGAACCTGCTGTTACCGTCACCTTCATAAGACAAACACCTGCGCAAACGACCCCTTCCCATTTCCTCTCTTGAGTATCTTTTACATCATAATGACACTGTGTAAGACGACCACATGTTTAAGACGGCCACTTTTCTTCTCAATGATGGCTGTCTGTATTAAACAGTTTCAACTATAAGTCTTTCAGGAACATGAAAGATGGCGTCTGTAGCCTAGTTAGTGGTTAGGCTACCGGACCCGTAATCGTAAGACTGCGAGTTCGGCGGCTCGAGCGACATTGTGCCCTTGGGAAACGCACTTTACACACAATTCCTATTTTGCTCAATCCTTTTGGAGATGGACGTTTTACTCGTAGGTTCCGTCTCTTAAATGGCCTACTAGTGTTGGCAGGGGCTTTAAACCTATACCATTTCCCTCTCTAAAAAAAAAGAAGGAATATGTAACAGTGTGCTGTGATAGCTGAGATGCGCTAAGAAAGACATATTATGGGTTAAAACTTTACTTGACTTTTGCGATAAAAATGCCGTCAAAATTGTCCTAGTTGCCGCCCATCCTCCTGGACAAAAGTAACTGTCTTAGACAGGTTCATGTCTAGGACAATGTCATCATAGTAATTAAAAAA